TATAAAACATTGGACACTTCTTATGATTTACTGAAAAGGACTTTATAAGTCAAGTCTGACGTTTTATTTGGCGTTCTGATCGCCTTTAATTTATGTAATTAACCTACTATCTGGGCATGTGAAATAATCCAATTTATTACAATCTTATGTTATTTTGGTGAAAACATTGTTGAAGTGGTCTGATCTCGCCTTCACGACTTGATTATGCTGCCATGGTGACCTAGTTGGAAACACTGTCCACAGTACTTTGTTAGAGTAGTTATGATTCCAGACGTCGGATCGTTGACTTGGTGCATTCCCACACATTTAGTCTGACAGGTTGTAGCTTGTTGCTAGGACTGACAAGGCTCACTCGCGAAGCCGACTATGTTGTTAGCGAAACGTCTGGGACTGTACCAAGTCCATGCTCCGACACTGGGAGTTATCATTACTATTATAGCACAGGACTTCGGATGAAATGAGTCCAACTGGGTCCTCTTCACAGCACGACTAAGTTGAGAAGTTGCTCATACAATAAATCTAAGCCAAATGCTAATAAAATTTTAACGTATATCTCCTATTGCGGCGAGATATCTTTACACATTAGGCTAAATTTAATGTAACCCACATATTAAAATTTATTTTTAGCTTCATATCCTAGAAATAATATTATAATCTCTTTGCTAAGTTCGTAGTTTGAATCTCTGGACTAAGATTACATATATTTATTCTTGGAGGAACTTTTATCAGCCTTGCAAGCAGCAGTCTGCTCAGACTGTAAATGAACTAATAAAGTTGTATCGTTTTACTAAATAGACAGGAATTATGTCAGCTAGTGTAGTGATATGCGAATACCTTATTCTAGTTGTAAATTTTAGCTGCTTAATCCAACAATATTTTAATTTGGCCAAACAGCAATTTCCATCCAGTCTAACTCGGCCCGCTCTTAAACGGATTTCACGATTTTGCGGGTTTATTCATTCACTCATGCTTATGCTTGTTTCGTTCTTTTTTAAGATTTTAAGGCTTATAATGGTCTACTTATTTTATGACGTGCATGTGATTGTTTGTGTGCAAATCTTATCGTATTTATAATGGATTTGTTAAGGTCATTGAGCTCAAATATTTTTGGCTAAACTCGAAATGTCAATTAGGTTATGGGTCTTAGGTATGGCCCTAGCCTTGGTCACTCTCTGACCGTACAGTTTTGGCCCTATGTCGTTTTCGCAACTTACTCGGAGCGACAGGGAGACCTTGTGAAGTGTATCTGATTCTACCTCCTCTGTCACGGTGTTCTTGTTAATTTCCAGCATCGGAGATCTGACTTAATTCTTTTCAAAGCATTGCGCCGACATTGTCAGGGAAAGGCGCTGTCCTTAGCTCATAGTTACAACGCATTAGTGATTAAGCAACCACCACCATATTAAAGATCATACCATCTTGCTGTTCACACTTTCATTACAGCTATTAAGGAGTCATAATACGAAATTTTCTTTTATTTGCTTAAAAGATTATTTCCTGAAGCTATCATTATATTTAGATAACGATCTTTTGCATTTGTATCCTATTCTTAAATGTATTGAAATATTTTGATGCTGTTTATATGAGGCTCTAAAGTGATAATATTTTCATTTAATTATCTAATTAATGCTCTGTTTAACAGCAATATCATCTTCTTTGGTTTATTGATTTACGTCTTGACAACCATTTTACTCTTATAATCGGTTAAACTTATTTTCGCTTGCGCTAGTCCTTCCTTTAGTATCTTTTAAGAAGCTTACTTTACTATATATCTTTTTGACTCCAAACAGCCAAATTTTCTTTGCTACATCAGAAGTGATAATTCTGCATAAATCTAAATTGAAAGTAAGCTTACCTAGCCAGTTAATTTTACCACATCGACTTCAAGAGAAAACCACATGATGACTGAGGAAGCCTTTCGAAAAGCATGACTGAGGTAGCATAAATTTACTAGCTTTTTCTTGCTTTAAGCCAATTGTTGTCTAAACTACATTAAAAAATAAAAAACGCTGCCTATGCAGAGAAAAATTGGGTTTCGATTTATATCTTGGTTTATTATTGTTGAGCTTTCTTCTATTTCCAGTAAAGTGTGTGATAAATAATTTTGAAGGTCGATCCAGCCAGAAGACGCCGGCGGACTTCTACCGGTTAGTTGTTTGACTTTACTGAAACATTCTATTTGACACTGTTACAAGACATTTATTGGTAAGCTGGTGAGTTTTATTCATTCGTTAGCCTGACTGTGTAGGTATATTACTCTGCTCTGATAATGTCCGTAATTTGACGGACGAAAGCTTGGTATGTTTTACTCCCTAGGGCAGCGTCAACAAGAATGCTAAAGTAGGGCCAATTTACAGGTGGACAAGAGTTTTAGACCTTTGTCTTATGATTACTTCGACCTTCAAATGTCGAAATGAGAGGAAGTTTAACACATTTTCCCGCACATAAGTTTGATTCGTGCTTTCTATCTTCTAAGCTGTTTTTTTATTTTTTTGTATTAGCTCGTGAGCGACGATTTGATGTCGTTCTGGTGGACACCGCCGGTCGTATGCAAGATAATGAGCCTCTTATGAGAGCTCTAGCCAAGGTTAACTAATTCTCTTTTCGTTATCTTTCAACTAAAGTTTGTTCTAATTCTTTGTGAACATATTTTACTGGTTTTATCCTTCCCTCTTAGCGAAGGGCTAAATACACTTAGGATGTAAGAAGCAAGTGTTTTACAAATAATTTCTTTGTGAATTTACAGTACAAAATCCAATTTTAGACCAATACGCACGGAATGAATTGCTACTAAAAATCTTGACTTATAGCTAGTTTCTATGGCTAGCTTAAAATTTGTTTTTAGCAATCCCTATCAGCGGCAATTACGGGAACATACAATACCTCTGAATTTGGCACGCACACAATTTATCATCCCATCCATTCACTCTCTCCAGCAGGTTGCACTCTCATGTCTTGTAAGAAGCTGTTTGGCGGGAGGCTGCGGTAAGATTTAGTTTCTCTTCCATAATCACGGGCTAAGTGTCCCGTCTATAGCCGGATGCGACAAAATTTTGCTCATTGCTGACGGATTTCTTAGGAGGCTTCGCCACATGCCTTGCATTGTTCAGATCTATAGCCGGGCCGGATAACAGCCCTACAGTGCAGCATTCATTTATTTTGTTCACGCTCATCCTTCACCGGCTCCCTATGTTGAGTGTCAAAGCGTCTGCATGGAGTCATTCTACTTACACTGCTAAACCACCCAAGGCTCCATTCCAACAAAAGGCCTTTATGCCTTGTAAACTAGAGTGCTCGGTAACCGATGAGAAAGCCCTTTCTCCTTGGTTCGAATATGCTTTTGAGGCAGTAGCATAAATCCTTTGAAGAAACATTTGATGTGAATTTTTCATTAGTTGAGTGCGCTAATATTTTTCTTTATGAAATGATAGTACTTGTAATATACTCTTCTATCCTTGGCTGGGGTTGATCTGCTTGCATTAAGCATCTCTGACACAAGTAGCCCAAGTTTATTTTAGTACGTCGTGTACTTCACTTTAAAGCTTTATTATGACTTCAGCTCACATAAAAAAGATTTTTTAGGAGTTACAGTTTCGAAAGCTTGCTCAATATTAAATTTTACTCTCCATGAATTGTATTACAAATTCGTTGTATTTAGTTCATGTTCATGGGTTAAATATTCCAACAACAATTCCACTTTTCTCGGCTTAACTATTTTCCGTACTCTTCCATGAGCCATATCTGCCTGCATTAGGCCAATTGATTGAAAAGATTTGGGGGTCCATTGCAGCTAATAGAAGTTGTGCGTTTAGACTAAAGTAAATCTGATTTTAAGACAGGCCAGAATAATCTAAAATGTCGCCTGTTGTATGTGGGCAATTCGTCCGACAGGTGGCATCAGGTTAGATTATCTCTATCACTAGTGGACTGCGTGCTTGTGTTGAAAAGATCTTGTTGCAATTTTTAACGATATCCTCGTCTACACTTGACCAACATAACCGCCTTTTCCATTTTCTTCCATGCTCCAATTGTTACTCTATTCAGAACAAGATGATCCGTCTGATATTTGTTTGAATGCTCATTCGAAAGGTCTGAACAAAGAACCAAATTTTTGTGGGCTGGGACAGTCACTCCTTAATACTGTCTCCGACTGCATACGCAATAGAAATGATTCAATTAAGATGTCTTTATAGGTGAAAGGCAAACGAATTATTGGTAATACCAAACTAATGGAGAAAAAGTGTATGATTAATTTTTTTCCTAAAAAACCTTCCAGACGTTTGTATGTGTGCATAGTTGAACTAAGATACAGGAGACAGGATAACGATAAAACGAGGTCTCTACCTGTGAATAATGCAATACAGCTTGATCTACATTTGATAAACCAACTTTTTTTCCCTACCTAACTCTTGATAAAATATGTCTTTTAATATTATCTCTGGTGACTTTCAGCTGCTGGCTTTGGTCAACTGAACGAAACGTTTCCAAGAGATCAAAGTATGGCCAATATTTTTGGCTTGTATTGCTAGCCCCTATCTTGCAAATGAGCATCGGAATCTGAATATAGATACACATACTCATATATATATATATAATTATGCTTGGTTAATATTACCCTAGGGCTAAAGATGTAATCACCATGTGTATGCTTTGAACAGAAAAAATATTTAGATGCATCTAAATGCAGACACCTACACAGTTAAATCTTTTTTATATAGATTAAAATTTGCTTGTCATTAAGCCCTTATGTCTTTTGTGTATTTATACATTCAATATTCTTAGTTAATAATAAGTGGAGCAAGTTGTATTTTCATATGTTAGTAACCTTTCTTTTGATTTTATCAATCTAAGCTTTCCGAATAACTTAATAATTTTATGAGCATGCATTATTTCATCTATTGAAGAGCACTTGCAAGCGTCACACTCATCAGAAACTTCGCCATGCGCTTCATTTGTTAGATATTATTTTTTTACTAGCCATTAGGTATATTATCTGGCTACTTCAACTATTAATTTTTATATTGTTTCTCGTATGCTATTTACATTTTCAATATTATTTGGATTATCCTTCTGTGAAGCTAATTTCTCATTTTTAAACCTACATTTAGACTAGCATTGTTCTACTTTGTTTATCTTCATTTTGTGCAAACTCTTTCTTCTATTGCTAAATGTGCTTCATTAAAATAGCCAACCATCCTACTCGTTTACATAATCCTTGAACTTCTTATTCGGGATTGTTTATTTTTTACAATTTTTCTAGAATTACGTATCAAAGCTTCATTGGACTGAAAAATTACATGTTTTAAGGAAAGTTTTTATCTAACTGAAGCACCCGTCTTTTCCATGCTTAAATTTATGTAACTCATAGCACACCCATCTTTTCCATCTAAAATTGTATCTGATTAGCATAGTCTCGCATATAATTTATGTCACTAACATTTGGTTTTCGGCACTCGTCATATCAAAGATGTAAAATTGGACATAAATTAGGTATGAGCCGTGTTCACCCTATTTTTTTAGGGTGATGAAGGACTGGTGGTTGAATATTCCAACAATGCTATGAGCATACATGCCGTTCCCATTTAATTTTACTTAGCCTTGTCTACCCAAAAGTTGTTATCCAGGCTGAAGTGGAATACAGTTTCCACCTCGCCTGAACTGGTCTTATCAGAACACCCAGGGGGACTCGAACCATGACAGTGCAGCGTGTAATCTCGCCACGTTAGCCCCTCCGCCACATTGCCACGGACGCCCTTAGGTCAAAGGGCAAATGTGAATTTCAAGAAAGGCTAGGCATCTTTCCATATCACATTGTGTAGTGGGAATCAATGACTACTTATTTTTCGTTTCGATGAGAATGCATTTTTGGAAAGAAAGGCTTCTTGAAATTCAATGGAAACGTCATGTATACTAATATTATTGTGTGAAAATTTAACTACCAGTCTTTCATTACCTACGAAATAGGGTGAACACAACTCATATATCTGATTTACTGATACGCTCGAAACGAAAAATCAATTAGGCAAGAAATGTGTCCGCTTTTATAGCCAATGATGGGGCTTTGACTAGAGTCCTTTATTTTTCAAAGGTTGAATGTTGGAAATGATCTTTTACCAAGGCATGAATTAACTATCCAACGGGCTTTTGATGGCGTAAAATGTGGTATATTATTATTATTAAGAAATATTTAACGCTGTTTTTCTTATTCAAACGGTGTATGGAAGCTTAAAAAGATCTTCGAGTTAAATTGGAGCCAAGCGTCTAAGTAACCAGTTGTCCATTATGCGAGAGTATCTTTTAAAAATCTTATATTGCTATATATATATATATATATTATCTTATCAGTTGATCACAGTCAACCAGCCAGACTTGGTCCTTTTCGTCGGCGAGGCGCTAGTTGGAAATGAGGCTGTCGATCAATTGGTCAAGTTTAACCAGGCCTTGGCCGACTTCAGTCATCTGGAACGACCTCGGGGCATTGATGGAATCGTTCTCACAAAATTCGACACTATTGACGACAAGGTGAACAATATTCATATATTTGCACATCTAACGTTGGTTTTCTCAGACAGGGTACTCGAATGAGATGTATTCACCCTATTTCGTCTAAGGTGATGAAGGACTGGTAGTAGAATTTT